ATATAAAATGTATAAGATAGCCTAGATATGCTATATTTGTTATTATTATTACGATGTTGGTGTGATTGAGGAAGTTAATCGATTTAGCAAGTGAAAAAAGTCATAACATCAAATTCAGTTCTCACATAGTTTTTTATTATAGAGAAACTTCATTATTGTACATTTTTTATTAAAAATTTTAAAATTAATTTAAATTAATTTTTAAAAAGTGAATAATAACTGTTCTGTTACTGTTATAACGGTTGTTGTTATTTTATTTAAATTGATTATTCAGCAACATAAATGATGTTTTCTCATCAGCCGTATTTGAGATCTCATCATGTTGATTTGTTCTTAAATTTTTATAAGAATAATGTTTAATAGGAGGAATGAAACAAATCATTTTTAGTTTCATCCATCTGGATGTAACAGTATAACTTTTCTTTTTTCTAAAAAATTGTCACCAAAATGAAAATAAATTTTCAATAATCTACAAGTATACTTACTTCTGCAACAGTTGGATTGTAACTAACTAATTTCTTTTACTTACTTTTTGTGATGAGTTAACATTAAATAATTTACTGTTATATACAAGGTTACTGGTCAGTGCAAACTGTGACTGCAATGCTGCAATGTACGCTGGCAGATTTACGTTACAGTATGGAGTTAATTAGATTGGCTTCTGAAATAAATAATATATTTTTTTTGATGGCCAATAAAATTTTGTCATTAAGTTGTATTGATCCTTATTATTGGGGAAACTTATTATGAGTATAAAAAGGTACGAGTATATCAAGTGCTTTGACACTAAAATTTAAAAAAACTTGGAAATGTGGAATTAATCGATTTGGCTTGTGAATGGCTTATTTCTCAGTCTGTACTTAATTTTAAGCAAGAAATACTTTTAAATATTATTTTATTAATTGTTCAGCAACTTTGTTTTTCTATAAATATTACATTGCATATTATATTTTCATATTTCATTTAAATCTCTAGTTGGAATTAGAGTGAAGCTTTCTCCTTTAAATTATATTTTCTTTTAATTAAATTCTACTTTGGAATAATAATAATGGATTGACTGTCTTGCACTATTCTCCCAAATATATTATTCATATTCTGGTAAAATCACATCATAATCCTTCAAAATATGATATGCTAATTTGTATTATATGTGTATTTCTCTGAAAGCTTTCAAATATATTCCACTTCATCTTTCTACTTTGTTCTAGTCTGAACATCTATTAATCTCATGAGAAATTAAGACACTAATTTCTCTATAGAAATTTATAATGTAGTGGCTGGTCGGTTAACGAACATAATCCATTCCAAGACCATGTTTGCTATCTGAATGGTTTCGTTAACCGATTATTGCTTTACCATAGATTTTTGAGGAAATTTGATTAATTCATCCTGGAGATCCCAAAAAATAAATAAATAATTATATACTATGTTTATTTATACATGTAATAACAAACTAAAAGCAATCTCTCCATTTTTTCATAGATGGCACATTTTTGTTTCTCAAATGCAATTTTCATTATTCCTTTATTTGCTTGAGTCTTTTTGGTTATATCTTTCTTATCTAAGATTGTATCTACTGTAGACCTGTTGAAGTCATCTGCCTACGATATCAGACATCATCTGCTTACTCCCTACCTTTGCCATTATCTCGTGCTTAGTTTCTATAGTGAATAATTCTTGACACTCCACTCTTTTTAGATCCCATAATATTATCAGTTTTTTTTAAACATAAAGTTCAGAAAAGCACTTACTAAAATTCAGAGAACAGAAATATAGTTTTACAAATCTTAAATGCAGTGTTGCTTCTTGTGTTTATTCTGTCGTGTGTTCGTTGTCTGAACATAAAAATCTTTTGTTAAAGTGTTCGTAGTCCAAACTGTTTGTTAACCAATCATCCACTGTATCATCCAATCATCCAAAACTATTAGCCAATCATTTTTCTTAATTCCAGAAAATATGCATAATGCATTTTATTAAATCTTTTATATAATGAAAAAAACATAAATATACCAAAAACCAGTAAAATTATTTAATATGAACATTTTTGTCTGTTTCATAATGATATAGCTTTTATATACAGGTATACCTCGCCTTACATCGGTAATTGGATACAATCGGTAATGTGAGATACGCAGTGGGTCAGGGGCCAATCTCGTACTGACCACTTAATCTGCACAGGCTGGTAAAGCCCGATCTCGGAGTCGTAGGATGGCTAGGAGGGCAAATCGAGTGGGGAGTGCGTCAGTAAGTCGACAGGTTTCCTCGGATAGACAGGAGACAGGTTTAACAAATAACAAAATAAATGTTTATTCTAAAACTAAAGTAATTTACAGGAGTATACAAGTTACTGATTATAGCTTAGATGCGGATAACATAAATTTATCTATAAGGGAGCTGTAACTATTCACTATGCCGCGTGAGAGTTTACAAAGAGAGTTATATTGGCGGTCAGTTATACCTTATGTCGGAGGACAGTATGCGACGATCCTTCTGAACTATGGAAGCTGGCTGTCTGTCACAGGCTTATGTCTTGTACCGGCTTCTCCTCGGACAGGATCAGGACGGGAGACACTGTATTCAGACCTTCCTGAGGATCGCGCGGAGGGACGGTCGCACTGAGGGGACGATCGCCCGGAACTTCCCGTGACTCGTTTTTATATGATCATCGTTGGCACTGAGCCAACAGGTCGTTCACTCATTATGCTGACTAATTAGCACGTGCACGTTGACTAATTGACAAACGGACGATGTGTAAGATTCCACATCCGATCTATTTCCGTTATATTTTTTCCATCCTCTAATGAAAAAATATGTTAACCCTAAAAATTTTCGAACTCAAACCCCTCGGGCTCCCACTCATAAATATACCAAAAACCAGTAAAATTATTTAATGATATGAACATTTTTGTCTGTTTCATAATGATATAGCTTTTATATACAGGTATACCTCGCCTTACATCGGTAATTGGTTCCAGGAAAACGACGTAAGTCGAATTTACTTGTCTCTGAATCTACTTGTCACTAGGCTAAACCATAAATTACCATTCCCGGTTCTGTATTTTATTTATTAATGCATTTTTAATAATATATGGTTAATAAGGATCTATTTTAAGCTTACAAACAAATAAATTTTAGTTTTTAATATAGTACAGAAAAAAGTATTCTAAATTTACGAATGCATGTACTGTAAATACAGAACATACTCGTATATATTTTAATATGATTTTATGTGCTTTAAACGTTTTTCTAGTGATATTACGACTTCAATATTTGTGGCGGACAGACGTAAAGTCGAATAAAATGACTTAAATTTGATTTTTATTTTTCCATATACCTTTTTGACAAGCGAAGTATAATCGGGAACGATGTAAGTCGAGGTATGCCTGTAATGTCCATTAAAATTGAAAATACAGGTTTGAATATTAAATGTTATTCATAAACTCATCTTTAAAGATAGAAACTTCTCAAGAAATGTGATATAAATGTAAAAATAGAATTAATAATGTTTATAGTAGTTTGGAGTATATTATTTTTATGACATCTTCCTGCACTTAAATCTTATTCTGTTGCATAATTTATTTTAATTTTAGGTTTTACATGAATTAAAGATATATATGTATTAAATTGTTTTACATTTTTTTAATTTCATAGTGCATTCAATGCTACAAAAATTTAGTTTTTATCAGTCAGATTTGTCAAAAAAAAAAAAAAAAAAAAAAAATTATATATAGTCAAAGGAAACTCATTCAAATTCTATAGTCTTGTCAAAATATTTTTTTAATACTTAACTACTAAAATTATTTTGGCAAGTTTTATCACTGCTTTACCATCCTGTAGATAGATACCACTGTGAAATAATAATTTAGCTGTGCCTACAGCCAATTTGAAAGTGTTCCATGTATCTTCATCTGATCATAATTTCTTTCCTTCAGGAATTTTTTCATAGGCCTAAAAAAATGAAAATGACAAATCTGAGCTAATGAAATGAAAATCCCTAACAGAATTTCTACAGAGATTCATTTGTAACTGCAGCAGTATGAGGTCTTGCACTGTCATGCAGAAGGATAACCTTACTGTTAAGAGACCTGGGCACTTGGATTTATTTGCACCTTGTTAATGTTTCAAGGTCTTGCAATATTGAGCAGCATTGATCATGTTGCAGTGTTCAAGAAAATTGATGAGGAAAAACTTGGCACTATCTTGTCAGCTGTGGTTGTGATTTGCATTTTTTTGGAGGCGGTGATGACGTGTGCTTCCACCACATGCTCTGTATCTTGTTTTGGCTGAAAATGATAGCATCACAATGCCATATTCATTTCCAATTTCTCACCACATTTATGAAATTATGATGCATAAATATAACTTAAATATTACATAAATAAGCAAGGAATCTATGAATTCCAGTTGTAAGTTAATCAGTTAAGAATCATTGTAATGCAATTATGTTTGTTACAATGTTACAGTTAACAGTTCCTGTTTTGATCAGAAACTGTTAACCATATGAAACGTTGAAATTTATGTATCGTGTATGTATGTACATGTTTTTCATAATATAAATATTATATTGGCAAACTTTAATTCATTATCTGCATCCAAAATGAAGTTACTTAAATGATTTTATAAGAGAAATTAATCAAACATTACAAAGTAACAAAATGATGATTCTATTATTATAGTCATTAAGTCATTAATGTAAATAATCTTTGATAGGAGATTAACTCTGAATAAAGGAATTCAAAATTAATACATATTATTGCCATGAGACACCTCTGAAACCTGTCTTTGGTAGTCTACAATCTACCTATGATAAGCAAAAACATCCCATGTGCTGGAGACAAACAATGCAGAGAATTATCTGATATTGAAAATATTGCAACTGAAGCAGTTTAATACCATTATATTAAATGATAACTATCAATGAAACTTCAGATTTTACTCTTTAGCTGATAAAATAAGATTTGATTGACTAATATTAATAATAATATGAATTTATTTTACAGAAATGGATATTCATTTGAGAGAGCATTACTTTTATCTATATTCTTGGGAATGTTTGGAGTCGACAGGTTTTATTTAGGATATCCAGCTATAGGTTTAATGAAATTATGTACACTCGGTTTTATGTTTTTGGGACATCTTATCGATGTCGTCCTAATTGCCTTACAGGTAAGTAAGTTTAAAATTTCTTATGATAATTCTCTTCTACACTAACTTATAATAATTTATTGCAGGTTGTTGGTCCTGCAGATGGTTCTAATTATGTGATTAGTTATTTTGGACCAAAGTTAACATTTTTAGAAATGGATAATTTTACACACATTGTGCCACAAGATGATTGGTAACATAAATTCCCTCATTTGATGTAGAACTAAGTTCAGAGAATATATATATCCAGTCAGTTTTTTATTCAAAAGTCTATAAAATATTACTAATTTCATACTGCTCTTATTGTAGTCCATTAAATATTACAAATCCTGTTTTCAAAATTTAAAAAAAAAAACTGAATTGTATGTATGTAAATATTGATCAATAAATTTATGGTTTTTTTTCCTTTTTATTAATCTTTCAACATTTCTCACAACAGGATTTGCAAAATAAAATACAAATTGTCTTTTCCACACAGTGATACAGGAATTTAGTTTTAAAATATACAAATATTTATAAAAATGACAAATATATAATAACAGAACAAAGATGTAATAAATGTCAGTTGAGCTTCATTACAAGTCTTTTTATATATATAGATACAATAAATGTGGCACTTTCGGTTACAAGAATATTTAAAATATATATATCATGGAATACTGGCACTAATTCTTGAATTTACATTTATATGAACATTATTTCTGTACATTCCTTAAATGAATTCTTATTTAAACGTGACTATATTCCTGTCTTAAATAGGAAAAATGAAAAGTCAACGTAAAAACAAAATTAACCAAATTGGTATAAGTAAGTATTATTATATATTTAGATTCCATTTTATTTGGTTTGGATTTCTGCACGACTCAAAGCTAACGCCAGTTCAAGGTCAGCCTGTTCTTTCTCAGCGGCCCTGCGCTGCCGATTCCTCTCAAGTCGGATACTCTCTTCAGCCGCCCACGCAAACTGCTCTTCCTCCGACATCGGACGAGGTGGCGGATCGTCTGCGACAGGAGACTGACTAACAAACTATGAGAAAATTAATTTCAAGTATTAGTATTATATCATCATTTTCAGTTAGAATGAATCATCGATACATTTTAATTTCTAAAAATTATTTCCTATAGTAAACAATTTAACATTTTGTCCCCAATTGATATATCACTATTCCATGATAAAATGTTAGTCCAGATTTTTATTTATGAAAATGTTCCAGATCTATAATTTTAATGCTTATTAGCTTATTCTATTGATTGACCATTTTCATAAGAAATTTAGGGAAAAGCAATAGTTTTCTGAATTGATTAACTGAGAGTTCAAGCAGTTCTGACAAAATTTTTGTCTTCAATTCTTAAAATTTCAGGAAGTCTTTAATTCTTAAAATCACTCAGAATGACTTAATGATGATACAATGCAATTAAAAAAAATAAGTTTAATTACAGATATCTGTTATTGTTAAAAATAGTATAGTATATTAGTATGTGGTTAGTATAATTTTGAACACTCAACTTTTGTAAAAACAGACAATGAATAATTAGTCAAAATATATTCACAAACAATAAAATTATAGACTTCATTATTTCAATGTTTTGCAATAAAAATCTGGACTCCAGTTGAAATTTGTCTTATTTAAAATTATTTATGTAAAATCTGAATTTTGATTAAAATGAACCACCACAATTCAGACTTACTAATTGACGATGTTTCCATTCTCTACTATTTTACACTTGCATGATCATCGTCATGATTGGCAGCAGCTTGTGATAAGCACTGCCTCACACAGCACCAAAGAAAAAAAAATCATAAATAATTCCTGATTTTTATAAATTATTTTACATGATTAAAATGAATGTGCTGTGCACCCTTCTGCTGTGGCAGGAATAGTAAGGTCAGAGTGGAAGTTCTGAGTACTCCATGACCTGTAAATGTTAATATGAAGACAAAATAAATTAAGATTTGAAATTTTTAATTTACAATATATATAAACATTATATTGCACAGTGGCAATTCAATTATCTGAACTTGATGAGACAAGGGTCTTTCAAATAAACCAAAGACCCATTTGTTTTTTATGTTTAAGCATACTGTATCTAAAATTTTCAAAAATAATGAATACTGTAATGCAATAACTCTATTAATTTACTCAAATTCTGACATAATGTTATCATTATGTCATCTGTTAATTGTAGTTCCATGAAACTAGGTCATATATGTTATCCAGTTACCACACAGTGATCAAATTCTCCATATATGTACTGTACAGCACTATACATTCTAGTTTTTCTTTTGAAAACCATTTCCTCTGTAGTTTGTTATGTAAAGTAATAGTTGGTACTCAGTACCCCATATGGGCAGACACATCATTATAAATTTGTTCTAGAGTAAGATAAATTCTAAACTAAAATAACTTTAGGAATGTCATGAATAAAATTCAGAAATCTAAATTCTGTAGTGTATCAATTTTAGTAAACTTTCAATATCAAAATAAGAACTTGAATGATGTTCTATGTAAAACTCATTTTCTTTAAAATTTTGATTTGAATTAAATGAAAATTTTGTATGCTTTTTCAAATATATTTATAATAAAAGTAACACATCATGCTGAATTTTTTTTTGGTGATAGATCCAATTTCAATACATTCACAAGTAATTTGATATAAAGCCTTTCTCATAGATTATATTTCTGCCATAATCAAGATTTTAATTTTAATTTAATAGTTCAATTAAAATTCTAGAATGGTGAATATTTTCCAAATATGAAGATATTTGTGACAAATGATATATATCATATTGGGGCTCAGAATGTTAATATAAAAATTCTCGGGCCTATTGTATAAAATAAAAATTATATTTCTACAATGTGTCGACAACAATCTTTATAAAAAAAAAAGTAATTAACAAAAATTAAATAATCCAAATTAAATTATTAATGAAGGAAGAGTGCAGCCAGGATAACTTATTTGGCTAATTACTCACCTGAATTGTTAAAAGGAATTCTGTCAAACACAGATGGAGGCATAGCAGTTAGCAATACAATAAGAGAAGGAAAATAGATTTGGAAATTTTGGTTTTAAAATTATTTGATTTTTGAATGTAACTTAAAATTTTTATATCTGAAGCATATTTTATACAGGCATACCTCGACTTACGTCGTTCCCGATTATACGTCGTTTGTCAAAAAAGTATATGGAAAAATAAAAATCAAATTTAAGTCATTTTATTCGACTTTACGTCTGTCCGCCACAAATATTGAAGTCGTAATATCACTAGAAAAACGTTTAAAGCACATAAAAACATATTAAAATATATACGAGTATGTTCTGTATTTACAGTACATGCATTCGTAAATTTAGAATACTTTTTTCTGTACTATATTAAAAACTAAAATTTATTTGTTTGTAAGCTTAAAATAGATCCTTATTAACCATATATTATTAAAAATGCATTAATAAATAAAATACAGAACTGGGAATGGTAATTTATGGTTTAGCCTAGTGACAAGTAGATTCGGAGACAAGTAAATTCGACTTACGTCGTTCTCCTGGAACCAATTACCGACGTAAGGCGAGGTATACCTGTATAATGAATGTTAGAAAATTGAAAATAAAGCTATTAGCTATAAGTTTTAAATAAAAGTTATAGCATGCATACATGGTACAAATCATGCAAGGATTGCTAAGCTTGCTTTTGGCTGCAAAAAAAATTGTTTGCTTAATTAAGACTGTTGCATTATATATGGATTTACAAATGATATATGATGTTACTTTATAACTGAAACTATTTCATTGTATAAATTACTTTTGAAATAATTCAATTACTTAAATAACTATTTAATGCATTCTATTTAAAAATTAGGAAAGAAACTAGCTTTTTGTGCTCAAATGTCTTTCGTTAGTTAATAATAAATAAGTAAATTACAATAATGAAACTCACAGTTAAGTTTGATTATGGCTATATTTTTTGGCTGTCATGCACAGGCCATAATTAAGTACACTTTTTTTGTTACATCTCTCATGGGTATATACAGAAAAAATCTCTCCAATGCAGACCAGAAATTACTTAATGTTACAAAACATTGTCTTAGGAAAATGGAAAAAAGCAATAATTAAGAACAAAGATTTTAGTTTTTTTTTACATTCACGTTCAGAAGAGTGAATGTTGTAATAGACTTTGCCGCGGCAAAATTCTTTTACCGGATCCAAGAGCTTGGAGTTTTAAACAGAGAACACACAAATTATAGCCTCGATAACTCTTACTTAAAACATTGGTCTGTTATTGCTAAATCTACTGACAGACAGCATTAGCATGATAGTCAATCATGCATTAAACATTCATCTATGACATTCATTTCTATTCATCTTTTTCTGACTTTAACACATCAATTAATATATTTGAATTCTGAAAGATATGTTTTGGGCATTTATATTTTACAAAATAATTTAATGATAGTTTTATTTTCTATTTTCTACTTTAGAGAATAACAAATTACTATATATAAATTGGAAATTTTTCCTTTTGATCCAACAAAAAAAATTTTTTGAATATTCTCATTTAATTTTTGTTTACATTTATATTTATACAGAGAAATTAGCTAGCTATAAAATTAAAGTATACATTAGTTATTGAAATTTTGTTTTCTTAAGGGCCCTTTTCATTTTGTAATTAGAAATTTGATAGAGAATTCTCTCTTATTTTAATTTTGATGCTTTCCTTCATTTTAACATACACAAACTACCATTTTATGACAACGTTTAACAGACTCTCACATGCTTGGATGCATGTTAAATTAACACATAAGCATGCTAATTTGTGCATGTTTATATTTGATTGTATTAGTGTAATAAGTCAATATTCATGAGATTTTTCTTTCTGACTGGCAGCTGACACACATTTAAATTTTAAGATTTATTGGCGATAAATTAAGTTGTCCAAGGATCTGCACTAGACACCATATATGTGATTGTAAAACGTTTATTTAAAATGATAGAATGTTATTGTAAATACACGTGATATTTGAACATCATTCATTATTGACAAATTGTAATTGAATAGAAATGTATAAAACAATTCATTCTATTAATAATAATCATCTTCGTCTTTGAAAAATAAAAGTTACTGAATTGGAAAGGAGACGCTTTTCCTACATACAAATGAACTATTACATTAAAATTCATACAAAATTTTTTTTGCCACTAGAATTAACTGAAAATTATAAAATCAGGTTAATGAAAGCATTTTCATTTTAAAAGAAATAAGCTAATTTGAAGGCAAATTGGTTTGAAAGAAATCATAATTTGAACATATTTAATCCGAGTGATTATTTTCATGCATACAGCTTGCCAGAAAAGAAAAAAAAATCCATTTCACAAAGTTAAAAATATATATTTGGTTTTGAAGATGTTTTTATATAAGTAATAATTGCTAAAAAATTATTTGGAGGTTCTTCAGTAACATCATAGTCATTAACTGTAAAGAATGCAAACACAAAATTTCAAGTTAGCCATTTCAACATGCTCTACAACAAGATGATTTACATAAAAGATTTAGTTGATAACAATTCTATACAATAAATTTTTATTGTTATTTTCATTCTTAAGAATGAAGTTTGCAACAGTCTCAGAAAACACAATTCCTAAATGAAATAGAATGCTTTGTAAATTAATTATGAGTATATGCATCATTGAGATTTCCAATCTTATATAAATCTTCACCATGTTGAACAAGGTCAGTTGAAGATTAGTTTACCTTCTCAAAGTCTGCAAAGTTGGCAAAAGATTCGGTGGCACTAGTCCCGTCGGAGCTGGCAAATGGATCCTGTTCCGACTTGAGGCCAAAAGGATCAAAGGGATCTTGCACGCCTGACTGAATTGCAGAGGTGTTCGATTCTCCCAAAGAACTAAATGGATCCTGAAAAGATGCTGATTCCTGAGAAGCTTGAACAGACTTATTTCCCAAACCAAATGTAGAAAGAGCTGTAGTGGAAGTTGTATTCATAAAAGGATCATGAGAGGGTGGGGGAGGAGGTGCGGGAGCCGCTCTTGTGGGCCCCGTCTTCACATTTCCTGATGCGTGCTTTGGAGGTGCGGGCCTGGGAGGAGGGGCCTTGCCCTTCTTGGGAGGAAGTGCGGGAGTCGGGCTTTCAGGGCGAGGCGGAGCAACAGGAGCGGGGCTAAACGGATCTGCACCAAAGGGATCTGCACCATCTGTCAACTAAAATTAAAGGGAGAAAATCCGAGTAAAAATTAATGTTAGACAACTGCAAAGTGCAATGTTAAACATGCAACCATTGTATTTACCCACCATTTACACAGACTTTAATATTTTTAATAGAAACATTAAGTACTTTACTTAATGACCAAAAATTTTTTTATCTGTTAATAGTAATAAACTAATTTCACATTTACACAAATATTGCCTGCATATTTTGTATTTAGGAAATTTATGTTACATGAATTATTCAAGAATATCATTATTGAAAATAAATCTATTATTGTATTTTATCATAATTTACTCAATGAACAATAAGAGTACATTTATGAATTTAAAGTAAAACAAATCACTTTCAGTTTTATGCTTCAATTTTGAAAAATATATGTATAAGATAGCCAAAAGGACAGTTAACAAAGATTATTTCAAGAACAGTTAAAAGTGGTTTGGAACTGCTGTATATTGTTATTCATGATTCAGTCATTTTATTACATGCACAAACAATTTTTAAGAATGGTTAAAACCAATTAGAGACTGGTTTTAACCATTAATTTTTGGTCATTCTTAAAAATAATTTTGGTTAACTGAAATACTCCTCAAACCTCTTAACCAGAGTGTAGAGAGAAACCTTATATTCACCGGTGTGTAGAGAGATTGTATTGGTTAACTGACTTTTGGACAATTATGTATTAGCAATCTAATAATTCTATTTCAATATCAGGAAAAATTACAATTTTAAAATACAAACAGATGTGCACTAAGACTGAATTTATATTAAATTAATAATTCTAAGGTTCAGTATTATTTTATGACTAGAAGATAACTGAGAATTGCATAACCAGAGTAAAAAAAATAGTATTCTACCAGAATTATCAGTAGTAATTTTTATGACATCTTTAAATTAACATATACACGAAACCTTTGATTTACACAGTAGATTGGCATCGTGTAAATCAAAAAAGGATACAAGTGCCTAACTTGCAAAAAAATGTATGAACTTAATAGCTCATTCTGTATCTTCTTCACTTGTTGAGGGAAGATAAATCTTATTCTTCTTCCATACACAAAAATTTTCATTATTGCTGTTAACTTCCTTAATTTCAATTTTCTTTTGAATTCTGACATTGTCAAAAATGTTTTACTAATTTTACTCAATTCCTTACAAATTTTTCTGAATTGATAACTGAAATTTCCTTTTCTTGCATACATAAAAAATAATTATTTAATTAAAAAGCCAAGAAATGAAGAAAAATACCATAAAAGTCATTACAAAACACAATTAATTCTTTTACTTTATACAGGTAAAAACTTTTCTAACCTGAATTGAGGAAATTTATTTTAATATAAACACCCAGAACAGATGATAAATTTATTTAAACTAAAATCTACTATTTAAAATAAAATTTTGTTGCATTGTTCTGATTTGAACTGTTTATGAGTTTGTAAAATCTCACTCACAAGCAATTCCAAATATTGTGCAAAGTAATTGTTGTGTATGCAATACTTTCTAATTTTATTAATATAAATTTTTCTCTAGGTATCATAATTATATAATTTGTAAGAGAGTATTTTGTAACAACTGCATAATAATTTGACAAAACTTCACATATTGCTGTCTCTTTTGATAAACTTTCCTATTAAATTAATTTATTTTTCTATTTTACTCACAAAATAATGAAAACTAATTGTGATACTACATTTATTAATGATTATGATTTAAAATTTCATTTCCAGTAAACTTTCTTAAAAAATTCTGAGTATATAATAAACAATAATTCAAACAAGTCAAATTGAAATTATTTATGAAGGAAGATTGAAAAATTACTGATGCCTCCTGAAACATATACGGGGCATTGGATAAAACATAAATTGGTATTAAGAACTAATGAGCAATTTTATTTCAAAATCTTGAAAAACAGTTATTTATCTGTACAGTGGGTGATCAGTTAATGAACAGTTCAGACAGCAAACAAATTGGATAATGAACACTTTCGTGAAAGATTTTTTGTTTGGATAACGAACACTTCACAGAACAAACACACACACAAAAAAAAGACATAAAATAATGAATACCAATTGGTTTTCCCTTGTCTCCAGGTAACAATTTGGAACCTTTCGGAGCAGAGATATTATTCCTCCAAACTTTGAAACTTTCCATTGTAATTCCAGCTTGTTGTTTATTCTGACAATTTTTTATAGTCTTTGCGAGATTGTTGGGCACTTGTTAAGTTTGGAGTCGGTTTTTATTTTCTAAAGGTGAGAGTTTAAACTGTCCTATTAGATATTTGTTAATGGTTTAACACCAAAATTTCGAATTTTGTTTGGGCTTCACATTTACATAATTCTTTTGTGCACTAGTTGATTTCTGTTCTCTGAATTTTTGTGAGTGCTTTTCTGAACTTTTTATTTCAAAAAGAAATTGATAATGATATGGAACTTATAAAGAGTAGAGTGTCAAGAACTGTGCTCACCAAGCAAGAGATAACAGCCAAGGTAGAGAGTGGGCAGATGTCTGATGTTGCTAGGCATTATGTCTATGGTAGGCACAATATTAGCTAAGAAAGATATAATCAAGACTCAAGCAGTTAAAGGAGGAATGAAAATCAATCTGAGAAACAAAGATGCATCATCCATGAAAAAATGGAAGAGATTGCTTTTAGTTTGTTATTACATGTAAATAAACATAGTAAAAAAGTATATAAATTTTTATTTATTTATTAGGATCTCCAGAACAAATTAATGAAATTCCCACAAAAATCTATGGTAAATCGATAATTGGTTAACAAACAATTTGTATAGTGAACAAAGTCTTGGAACAGATTACGTTCGTTAACCAATTACCCACTGTACTTTATTTCTCATGCATCTTAGGGATTATATATTTTCTGTTTTAACTGTTCTCAAGATTAAGGAAGGACAGACAGTCACTAGTGGGAATTTATAGTTTTCATTCTTTTGAACAAATGTACAGTAGTTTTTTCAACAAATACCATACAACAAATACAACAAATACCATACAACACGAGGTATTTGTTACGCATTATAGGAAATCGCATTATCGAAACCTGCATTATCACATGATTTATGAAAGTTTAAACTTTGACCTATAAGTTGAAAAAAAATGTATACCCCTGATTGGCAAAATTTGAGGATGTTGCTAACTTTATTTGCACATTGTACAGGACTCTACTGTATACTTTATTAACACTGGTGTTCCTCATATCTGGATTTGTAATATTGTTACTCGAGGGCAAGTGCTATGCTCATCTTACATATTTTCATGTTCTTAATGATTTGTCTTCAGAAATTTTACTTAGATCAGGATGTTTTGTTATGAATAATATGTATTTTAACGTTTCCCTTACTTTACTTCAGTTAAATACATTAGAAATAACTGTTATTTCTGATTCCAGTATCTTGAAGAGGATACTCAGGAAGGAAGGTAGATGAGAGTTTGGCCACAAAACTACCAAGAACCTGAGTTACAAGTGTTTTAATAAGAAAAATGAGTGTCATGCTCACCCTTCAGCAACAGTGGACTAAGCAAAGAGGCATGGTGTAGCTCAATCAAAATGTAACAACTGTATTTTATAATGATAAATCCCAACTGACGATCTTAAAATCAGAAATTTGAAAGAATGTAATATGAAAACACAAGATGGTGAATGATGACAACAAAAGTGAATGAAAGGACACTTGCAGAAATAAATTAAGTGATCCAAACATATACATTCAAAACATGAAAGAATTATACTAATATGAAAATGAAATAACTTACAAAATTTTTCAATAGCTAAAAGCATTTTTAAAATGCACATTCATTAAATGTTGTTAAGATCTTTGAAACATTACTGAAGTAGATTAACTTGATTTATTTAAAACAACATAATGAATGCTAAACATTTTGCAACACTATGTACATTATACAAAAAAATGATCAAATAATAAAACTATTATTTGATCATTTTTTTGTATAATTAAATTACAACAGAATGGAATTTTAAAGATTCAAATAAAATATTTATCATCTTTTTACTAATTTATTTAAGTTTTATAAAAAAAAATCAATCTCATTTTGCTTGCATTTTTTAAAACGTGAAATCTAACCTAAAGTAAATAATATAAAAATTACTATTAACAATTCACTCAACTGTTCTAATCTAGAACAGCATCAAAAATTATGAAAAAAATTTAAATCTACATAATAAATTTTTCTGTATTTAATCTTGGAAATTGTTTTGTTATACATATATTTTAATTATTTTTACTTCTTCATTACAAAGAATAAAGACTATTTGTACAGTAGACTCTTGATAAACTTCCTCAACTCAAATTTTATTTTTGTCTTAACTCCCATAAACTCGATGCAGTCTATTTCTGTAAGTCAAAGTAGTTTTAAGATAAAATTTTTCCAATTTGAAATTTAACTGCCCAAAATTAGACATGAAATATGGTTTCATGTCTACTTTTATGAGCTTTCTTTTGCATTTTCAATATGGGGATTATCATTACAAACTTGAAGATTGGTATTGTAAAAAATTACACCTCTGATTGCACTATATTAAATTTTAATAATCTTATTCTTAAACACAATTGACCAATCAAATCTTAGTGCTTTAAAATCATTATTTTTTAAATTTTTAAGTTTTGAAAATTTAAAAATTAACAATTTCAATATATAATGAATACATCTGCAATTTGGCAACTTACTGAGTTATTTGCTACTAATAAAATTTTTGAGTTTACCTATATGTATCTCAGACTTTTAAAGGAATTTCTAGAAATTATATCATTCATAAAACTATATGCTTTTGAGTTGAGGTAATTATAGTCAACCATATCAAAAACATTATTGAGCAAAAAGCAATTAATTGATGACGACAAACTCGTGTAACAGACTTTTCTTACTAAGTCTTAACATTTTATTAATTTATGCATATACTTATCTAAAAAAATAATAAAATATAATGTATTTAAGTCTAAGATAAACGACTTTCAACAAC